AAGTTTGGGAACAATTCTATTTCAAATTACTTCTGTGTCCTTCAATTATTAAAAAGTGACTAGCAAATTATTAAATGTAATGGAGTGCTATAGGGAAATGCCCAGAAGAAAAAATGTACGTGCTATTTGTCTTGGATTCTACATCGTTTATGTAGGAGGTATGCATGTGGATGGCGGAGTTGACACTGACAGAAGAAGACCTTGCAGTGTTCTCTTTGGATGAAACTGAGTACATTTTTCTCCCAGAAGAGAGGCTTTGTGCTTTTAGAATAGCATGGCAAAGAAGTTCACTGTCAATATTTCTTGAAAATTACATGTCCATCATGAGCCTTCAAACCAAGAGATGTTTTCAAACGTATTTTGTACTCTTAAAGCTTCTTAGACTTGGAAAAGATAGAAATTCTTGTTATACTTTTATGCCAGTGTTGTCCTTTTCATATGCTAATGATGTATTTAAAGCATTCTTGAAAAATACTGCATTGTTGTGATAAAGTCACTGGACCTGTTCAGCTATATTTATCAGAGGCAGAAGAATTCTGATTACTGAGACCTTTAAGATCCTAATTTGTCTCATAGCTGTGATGGCTGAGTCAGTACATCTAATTGATTGGTTCTACTGAATCAAATAAAATGTTAATTATCAGGTATTCAGATAGCAGTAATCCATTTCACACTCATTTCCTAACTTAGCCTACACATATTTGCCCATCTCCAGTGATGCTAATGAATTTGCCTTGGTTGATTTCTAAGTTCTAATGTATACTCCATTGTGACCAAGCAGCAAATGAGTATTTATAGCTCAAGGCAGGTTACTAACCTAATCATAAAAAGGTTAGACCTTACACTTGCCAGGCAGATACTCATGCTGCTGAACTAAATCCCCAGCCCCTAATCATAGAGTTAAAAATACATTTTGATAGTAGATTCTCTCAAACTATAGTTCTCCCTACTTGATCTGTTAAGCTCACAATAAATTAAGACATAACATCTAGCCACAAAGTATATGTAATACTCACTTACTGATAAGAACTAACTACCATATTTACACTCTCCATTGAACTCAATAACTATGTAGAGAACATGTACAGTCATTTAAGACTAAACATTAAAATCATTATTTGTTGCCATTGTAAATATTATTTAACTTTCCCTCACTTAGAATTAAAAAATTGTGGAAAAGGGAAATTCTAATCACAAAAAAACTGTGGCAACAGACTTTATCCTAATACTTTCTTTTTAAATGTTTGAAAGAAGTTTCTCCTTTAATTGCTTCTGTCGTTAAACTTCCACTCCATATAGATTTCCATATTTTTACCTCTGCCCTGGACTGTTACAGTTTTTTCATTCCTTGTTACTGGTGTTATCTAGAAACATTTCATAAAGAAGAAATAAATTGGCTTAGTAAAATAATACTTTATTTGCATGACAGCTTTACATCTTAGATATATCTGTTTGGAGGAAGAGGACTTGCAAGCCTATGGAAAGGATTCAGAGTCTACCTTCATTACAAGTGTGCACATACTTGTATGTGTATTGTATATAATATACATTTTTCTGATGAGACTCTTAAAGTCCATGATTGTAAAATAAAGAGCCACCAATTTATTAAACTGACCTGAAATACCATGATTATTGTGATGCCTGTATTTCTCATGGAGGTTATCTTTTCTCTCTAAGTTTTTACTCCCTTTCAGTGTCCTAATAATAGTGTTCTAGTGTTCCTCCCTGGATCCAGGGTAGGAAATGGGGAGAGAGAGCTTCTCAGGGATGGGAGTGTTGAATCTGCAGATAGAGCTGGAAGATAAACTCCTTTGAAGTGAAAATTAAGAGAGAAAAAAGAAATCACTAGCACAGTGAAAAGAAAACCAATGAATTAGGGAAAAAAAATTAGCTAATTGTCTCTCAGATAAAGGACTTTTATCTAGAACATATAAAGAATTTTTTAAAAAATCAAGCCCCCAAAATTCAAAGACTCAAACCAAAAATGGGCTTGTGAGATGAACACATACTTCTCAGATGAAGAAATACAAATGTAGAAAAGAAAAACGTTCAGCATCATTGGTCATTCGAGAAATGCAAATTAAGATAACACTGAGATTTCATCTTGCATCAGAAAGAATGGCTGTCATCAAAAAATCAACCAACAGCAAATGCTGATGGGGCTGTGAGGAAAGAGGAGCCCTTCTTCCTTGTTGGTAGGAGTATAGACTGGTGTAAAAACTGTGAAAATCAGTGTGGCATTTCCTTAAAAAATTAGGATTAGAGATCCCATTTGACCCAGCTGTTCACCTTGTGGATATTTTTCCAGAATTGAAAATATCGTACCACAGCAATGTGTGTGCACCCATGTTTATAGTAGCACAATCTGTAATAGCTAAATCTTGGAAACAACCCAGATACCCATCGGTGGAAAAAATGGATAAAAAAAGATGAGGCTTTTTTATGCAAAGGTATACTGCTCAGCTATAAAGGAAGATAAACTTGATACTTTTATAGGTAAATCTGTGCAACTAGAGATCATATTAATAAGTGAAATAAATCAAACTCGCATATGTAAACATCATATTGTCTCCCTCAGGTAAGAAATGTAAAAAGTAAGTAAGATTCAAAGGTACAATAGATACTGTAAAAGGGAAAGAAACTGCTCAAAAGTAAAGAACAATTGGGATGGGGGAAAGGAGAAAATAAGGAAGTGGGGAAAAATATATATATATACATATATATACACAAGAGAGCTAAGATAATTAAACTACAAATTCTATTCATGGAAAGGAACAATTAATGCTTATATTGTGATCAATTTTGCATACCTATATCTGATAATCTGAGCAACTGTTTTGAGGATAACAATATGCAATACTTGTTAAATTTTATCCAGTTTTGAAATTCTGTGTTGTTCTTATTTATTTTTTATTCTCTTTAAAAAAATTAAAAAAGAAAAGAAAAAACCCACCACCATTCCAGGTCTAGGTAGGCTAAACGAAGCTGAGAAAGATGTAAACAATTTTGCTGTTACTGTTTTTCCTATAACATAAATGGGCTTTTTTTTTTCTTGATGGGCTGTATCAGAGCTATAATATAGGCTTAAATTTTTCCTGTGTTAGTAACAGTAACATGAAAGAAAATATGCATAGATTTGTTTTATATGCAGATGTATGACTAGTTGATCTGTAGCAGAGATTTCAACTACAACTACTTTTTCAAAATATGTTTCTTAAATTTTAAAATAACTCCACAAGTATCACTAGTTCCTTTTTATTTCTAAGCTAGAACTAAGACCTATAAAACCTCTACAGTGTAGACAAATCTTAGTTAATCAGTATCTGGGGTGGGTGTCTTCTCAGCCATGGTTCAATGACAAATTACATGATTGAACTTTAGGTTTATCAGTTGAATTCTTTATTTCTCCAACTGCTGTTTCAGAAAAAGTATTTATTTTTTTCATTAAATGTTATCTCAAGTAGGAGTAGATTTTATTTGGATATTATTTATTAGCTCTTGTTTTGCATCAAATGATGTTGTTTAGACCATTTGAATCCATAATCTTATAGGCTATGTACATATTTTAATATGATTAATAAATATTTATGTAAAACAAATACTCTTAACATAAATTATAATGTCAGTTTATCTTTGCCAAATACCACAGGAGAATAAAAACAGACAGAATTCAATTTTGTTTTACTGTTTTGCCCTCGAAGTCGTCAGTTTCCAACCAGCTCTATGAGGGCTCTTAAAATGTGCTATCCTAAAGAAGATCAACCCACAAAGCTATGGTCTAGGGAAATCTTAAAGCCCAAATAGGGGCTGTAAATATTTTGAGTCTTTCAAGATGTTTCCTGTAAACTGCCCAAACGCTGTCTATATCTCTGTAAGGTAGCTAATGAGGTTCTCTTCAGTCTGCAAAGGTTGATAAAGCATTGTTGAATGGTTTTATTCCAGATGTGTTGTGAAAAAAAAACCTGGTAATAACAGAACAAAGCTCCCCTGAGGCATCTTGTGAATTTGTGATAAAGCTTTCAAATGTGACAGCACACAAGTTACCAATAAAGTAGCATTTATTTTAGGAAAACTGTGGGGGCAAGAATGAGGACCTCCCAAGGACACCAAAGTAATGCAACTAAACAGATTCCATTGCTAAAAACAATCTATTTGGGGGGCATTTTGCATAATATATTTATTTAGCATGTGCCCGCATAGCCAAACGTGTACCGAATAGAAGTGCTAAACTCAGTTTACCACTCTAAGAATTGGAAGTCTGGTTGCAGAAGACGGATCTCAGAGATGAGCCTTCTTTTTCAAATCCAGGGGAGGCTCTAGTTCACTCTGCTGCTAAGCATTTGTAAGTGCAAGTGAGTCCAGTCCCTGCACCAGGGACTTGCACTAGGGACCTGAGTAGAGGCCTTTTCATCCCCCCATCCCCAGTCCCAACGCCTTATTTCTTATGGTAAATGATTAATTTATTTTTCAGTAATGATTAATTTATTTTTCAGTAATGATGTATATATTAATTTGATTTAATGAAGTTATTCTTGGGCCCAAGGAATCTAGCTCAGCGGCTTAAGTGCCTGAAGTTATTCTTTTGCCTGAATTTTACTTCAAGATCACATTGTTTGCTGTCTACCTAATGAGAAAGTATATGCTAACTTTCATTTTGAAATCACTAATATTCATATATTTAAGTTTCTCTAATATTTATATATCTTTGAAGGTAAAGTTAACAATACAGAAATGGTGGTAAAATCTGTCCCTTTCGGTACTTGGACCTTAATTTATATTTAATGTTATATTGAACCCTACCATCAGATAAATGATAAAAAAATACAGTGATTCTTTTCAATTCCAGAGATCATTCTGAGTAGTTTCCGTTTTTTACAATTTTATAATAAGTACATAAATCATTACAACACAGAGTAAATAGAAAATCTGTAAAATGAGTAAACATGTAATAATTTGTTACAGTTTTAGTTTTATAATTATATATTATGCTTTATTTTCAGGACCGTGTAAATGCCTTAGAAATGGTAAGTTGGGGCATTTTCTTTCATCTTATATTAGAATTACTACTGTCTCCTGATGTGGATTTCAGAACACACCAAAGAAAACAGTTTCAAGAAACATTTCTAAAACTACTTCTAAGGGAATACTTTAAAGGGAGAAGTGAACTAAACTGTTTCTGAAAGGTATGTGGATATAGACATTTTAAATGAGGAAAAAAAGTAAATGTATGTAAGTGGTCACTACTTTCTCAAGACTGATATGCCAAGATACACTAATTTGTAGAAAATATAATTAATTTAAATATAACCCTTACCTTTTATATTTCTATATTTCAATTTCTAAAAAGATTTTTGATTAGAAATGAAATCAGAATGCTGTTTATACTTTGAAATCTACATTTTTCAATGTTCACATTATTTTCCTTGTCTTTATATGATTATCAAGGAAATAATTAAAGCCTGATGATTACTTTTCTGAATGATCTTATTGTAGGAATCTGGCATGAGGAATTAATTTTTAGGTGCATAAATGTAAAGAATACATGCTTTCAATATCTATTTGGAAATTATTTTTTAATTAAAGAAGAGAAGCAAATTTATTGTTTGAAGTAATAGATGAAGTGTGAAATCTCTACCCAGTATGCCAGAATGGTAACAGAAAATACTTATAATATTGAATGAAAGTTCAGAATACAAAAATCACATGTACTTTAATGATAACCTGGCAGCATACAAGAAAAGAACAGAAGAGGATTTGCAAAGCTAGTGACTTACTACTGCCTCTTTGCTGAGACACACTAATGTACCTAACTCCCACAACTCAGAAGAGCAAAGATATATTTTGGCTCACAGTCTGCAGAGGTTTCAGTCCATAGCTGGCTGACTCCAAGGCAGGGCAGCATGGCAGAGCGCCATGGCAGAGAGGAATTGCTTTTGGCCTGGCAGACAGAAAGCAGAGAGGGATCAGGGAGAGACGGTACCCTCCAGGCCAACACCCCATTAACCCCCACCCACCCAAAATCATTTCACCCCCTCAATCACATTTAACTGTAAACTCATCAGTTTACTGACCCAGTGATGTGGGTCACACACCCATGATCCAGTCATTCCCCAGAAGTCCTACCTATGACAGCATGAATCCTTTGGGGGACATCTAGATAAAAATAGGTATGAATCATAATACCTTGTTAGACAGGAACTATGGGTTGTGACTTCATTGCTTTCTGTTTTTAAAAAAAGTTGTGTAAATAGAGCTATGGTTCTTTTTTTTTTGTTTTTGTTTTTTTTTTTTTTTTTTGGTACTAGAAATTGAACCTAGGACCTTCACTGAGATATGATACAATCATTTTTATATTTTTATTATTGTTTTGGGTTAGGGTCTAAGTTGCCCAAGCTGGATTTGAACTTGGAAATTGTCTGGTCTCAGCCTCTTAGCTATTTTAGTTTTATAAATATCTTGCAATAATAACTGCAAATTAGAAGAGTGTAAAAATAAATTGTGAGCCAGGGATTTAGCACAGTGGCTCAAGCACCTGCCTCACAAGTGCAGGGTTGTGATATTGATTCGCAGTCCCCCCCACAAAAAGAGATATCAACTTAAAATAAATTGTGGTGTTACCTTATGATGAAATATTATACAGATATAAAAAGTCATATTTTCCAGAAAGTAAAGATTGCCATGCTGTTATGTGGAAAATATATATGAAGACATAAAAATGTGATGCGAATACTGAATATGCATATATTTACATTTTAAAATGCCTTTAAGGAAACTCATAAATACATCTATATATAGACATATATAGGTACATATATTTGTTTTGTAGGGGTTTATTGTTATGGTTGTTGAAACAGGGTATTGCTATGCAGTTCAGGCTACCCTTGAATACACTAGTAGTCCAAGCTGGGCTTGAATGAGGAGATCCTCATGCCTCAGCCTTCCAAGTGCTAGGATTAGAGTTGTGTTCTGCCACACCCATCTTACATAAAATAGTAAGATTATGTTGAGAGTACTGGTGATTCTTTGTATATTTTTAGGGAGCAACAAAAAATAGAAATCTTTTAAACTATAAAGCTAGTAAATAAGGTGTTTAGTTTATAAGTGAAAGGGGTGGAAATATGCTAACATGGCATATTTTTGTAAGCAAGTGATTTTGATTGACATTATCCAGCCCCTGCTAGGCAAGTAACTCATTCCTTAGATTTAACTGAGCCACTTGGAAAGTACACTGGCCTTCTAAGTTTCAGTATGATGACATTGTAGCTGAATAAAATGTTTAGTGTTTCTACACAGGTATTTTACTTTCCCTTAGGAATGTCTTGCCAACAAGATTTGGCTTGAGAATTAAATACTGTTTTTAAAAATATGGAGCAAAAACAGAATTTTTGAGCTTGAGGAGCTGGATTCAGTGTGCAAAATGCCATTTATACAGCATTTAGCACATTATATCTTTCTCAAGCCCTACATCTGTATAACTCTTCAAAATTAAAATAACTTCTCAGGCTATAAGAACCAAGAGAAAGTATGTATTATATACTACCAAACAAACCTTAGAGTATTGCTATCATTTTGAAATTGCTTACTTATTTAAGCATATGAATTACACCAATGTAATATCTGAAAATAAAAATTATATCAACAAATATGTATAACTTTATTTGTATTTGTCAATCTTCTTAAAATACCTTTCTTAAGACAATAATATACAACAGAATCTTAAGTGTCTTATTTTAAGAGTTCCTCTAGGATTAAAAGTAAAAATTAAAAATCTACATGAGAAAGATAAAACTGATTAAATGGCCCAGTTTTTAACATTAGCAGTTTTCTCAAGATAGTTTTAATTTAAAATAATTACCATAAGTAAAACCATAAAAATTAAAATACTCAGCAATGCTGTTAATGTTCAAATATTATGAAGTCTTTTGGCTTCCCTTAGCATCATAAGGAGTAAAACTTAATTCAGTTGGTAGACTGCTCAACTGGTAAAGTATTTTATAGTTCATAAAAGCAAATATGCTGAAGGCAATCTCAAGATCATTTATTATTTTTGTACAACTCAGCACTTGAGCCATTTGAAACTGTTCGTGTTCCACGTTCGGTGTTGGTAGGATTAAAAGCCATGAGGTGTTGCAGGGAGCGTGTCTGTCATGGTGATACAAATCTGGTAGGGTTTGAAATTTTATTTTTCAGTAGGGATTTTTAAAATAGATAGCTTTAAAGGTTCAGATAGCTATAATGCCTCAAAATAGCACCTTCTTGACATCATAAAGAAAAAGTTGTGGTTGCCACTATTTGTCCCTGCCCTGAGCTCACAGTCTTATTCCATTCTTCCTCCTGTTTTACTTTTTTCTTCCCCTTCTCCTAGGAGCAGGTAAGCTCCTTGGATTAGAAATTGCATTTTATTTGCATATGAGTCCCAAGGCTCTGTCAAAATTCGTGTTAGATCATGGAAATTCAATAAACATTTGTAGGGAAATTCAATAAACATTGTAGTTCATTGCAAAGGCCCTGGTTCAGTCCCCAGTATATACTGCCAAATACATAAACACATACATACAGACAGACATTCATAGAAGTTTGTACTAAATGTGTCTGACCTTCATATAAGACTCTGCTTAGCAATATAGTTATGAATTATCAATCCTGTAGTCTCACAAACCCACTAATCATCTCCACTGAAGTCTACCATACATTTTCCTGGCAAAGAATCACTTTCAGTAAAAATACAGCAAGTCAGTCCCCCAAATAAAGCTAACTGCTTAGCTGGAGGAAAATCTTGAGAGCGCACATGATGGGTGGTTGGTGAGACTCAGCAGTGGATATTTACCAGGCACCGTACAGTATAAGGGCCTGTGCTGACACTGGGAGCCAAAGAGGGAAACAGACTATAATCAGTGCACTTTGGGACTCAAATTGAGAAGTGACTAATAAAAATAAGTGAATGGTTTAAAGTAAAAGCATGCCATTTCTTATAAAGAAATGATAACTGAAATAAATTAAGACATGATTATAATCTATATCCATTATGAAAATCGTGGATTTTGTAGTTTGAGGACATGCGGAGTTTATCCATGAAATATGAAAAATAGTTATATTAGGTAGAATGAGCCAGAGAAGCCATTCCATGCTGGCAGTGTGATCAAAAATTAATGAAATTAATCAGAAATTTTTTACAAATGTAAAATTATGATTCTTCTATAATTATAAAAAGTATCCTGACAAATATCTTTATTTAACTCACTAATGAGGGAATCAGAAGAAGTAAAATAAAAAACCAGTCACAGACCTGTACATGTATTGTACAAGGACTGAAGAGTGACGAAATTAATGTCAAGTTGAGGCAAATTTGGTTTCTTCAATTATGAAACAGGAAATCGATTGAAACTCACAAGACGAAATTTACAGTGTAATCAACAAAAGTCATTTGCACTGCCATCAGTTATCTGCAAACGTAGAGTTGTAAATAACTTAAAAACAATGATAAGTAAAGCAATCTCATAGAATCAGAAGAACTGGAAGGATGTACTAGGAAAAAAACCCCCCACTAGTTTTCTATTGAAGATACTTAGTACGTTTTTGTTTTAATTCAAGTCTTTCACATTTTTCCCTCATAGATTCATGGGAGACAATACACATAACATTTTAGGAGACTAAGAGGAAGCATTAGTGTTTTGAAAATTAACCAAGGGATTTTGACTTTGTATTAGTTTCCCTTCGCTGAGAAAGTACTCCTGAAACCTGCAGCTAATAGGAGGATAGGGTTATTTTGACTCACAGTTTCATTGGATTCAATCTGTGACGGGCTGGCTCCAAGCAGAAATGGCATGGTGAAACCCACAACCAGGAAACAGATAAAGCAAGGTGTGGAGCCAGGTGCACGAACGCACCCCTCCAATTCACACTCCCACTGATTCACCACCCCATCTTCAGACTTGAGGTTGGGCGACCTTTAGATCTGAAGTGTAACAGATTTGATCCTTGGTATTAAGGGAACAAATGAGCTCCTCCTGAGTACCACTTTTGC